GGGGAAGGGCCGGGGGAAGGGTACACAGACAGCGGAGGCTGGGCAGGGAGGAGGGGTCCAAATGCAGCTGAATGCTTCCCATGTGGTTGCTCAGGAAGGGTCCTCCTTTCTCAAGGCAGTTCCAGAAAGGAGGCCCGGGAGCAGTCCATGCTGGAAGCCCACCGCGGGCGGGGTGGCAGGCAGCGGCAGCACCAGCTAGAGCTCAACCAGAAGGGAGCTGGAGCCCCATCGCAAGGTTCTGATGGGGTGAGGGGCGCACGTGGGCATTCGAGACCCAGTCCCCAAATGGGCCCTGACCAGAAGCAAAATGTGATGGCGGCCAACCCAGCCTTCTGCTCTAAGACAGCTCCCTGTAAAAGGCAGGGTGGGACACTTTCGAGGTAGACAGGGGACTACCTAAAACTCCCTCCAACTGCACTCTCAGCAGGCGGGTGAGCAAATCCCTCCTGTGCCAAAAAATGGGCTGTACCTAAACTGTGATGGGGAGTGCTTGGGGGTTCTGCACGGGGCAGGAGGTTGAAGGGTCCATTCCAACCCAGTGGTGCCATAATTCTGAACAAGCAAAATAGATCCCACCCCAGCTCCAGAACTTAGGTGTTCTCCATTCCCAGACCCAGGAGAAAGGGGACCTGAATGTGCCTCAGGGGAACAGGATCATGCCTCGTCTGTCTTCAAGCCCTTCGGCCAGTAGTCCTTCATGTACATCCCACTTGAAAGATAGATGGACACGCAGATAGGCAAGCTCGTGTGCACGTATACACATACATACTCATACGCATACACACACACACGCACAAATACACGTACACACACGTACACACATGCACATGTACACACCACACATATTCACACACACATGCACACATACACACTATACACACATGCACACATACGCACGCACGTACACACATTCACACAGACACGCATGCACACATACACCCCCCACACACGCACAAATACACGTACACACACATACACACACACATACACACATGCACATGTACACACCACACATATTCACACACACATGCACATATACACACCATACACACATGCACACATGCACACACACGCACGCACGTACATTCACACAGACACGCATGCACACATACACCCCACACACATGCACAAATACACGTACACACATATACACAAACACACACACATACACACCACACACACATGCAGACATGCACATATACATGTGCACTTGCACACACACCACACATATACACACATATACACACAGGCATGCACAGAGACGTACACATATACACAGAGACACACATATACACACACACACACGTGCATGCACACACACACATGCCTAAGCTCCATCTCTTGGTAGAGCTCAGATTATTTTCAGTTTTAGGGGTCACTGGGTGGAATATCTTAGCTCTACCCAGAGGTCTGGATCCCCTCCACGTGGTGTTAAAGCGTCCTGACCCAGAAGGGCACACAAGAGCAGCCATGGTCCTCGAATGTCTGCTGTGTCTAGAGGGGAGGAAGCGACTACGTACCCAAGGGTGGGTGTGTGCCCACGGTGATGACCGCTGGTCATGTGATCTATCTCCCCCATTCCACCAGAACTCTGTGAAGATGGTCCACCTTCACCCCCCACAGTGACACCAGTCCACAGAGGAGCTGGAGGGGGCTGAGGGGCCTCGCGTGGGTGGGGCTGCTTCCCAGCAGCTTTGCCCTCACACATGCCCTCGATGGCCAGGATGTGACCAGAGGCCAATGGCAAGTCCCCCTCTGCAAGGTGCTCTCCAGGGTCACTTCCCAACAAAGCCTGTCACCATGGTCCTTCCAAAGGCCATACCCTCCCATCATAGCTTCATCCCCACCTCCAATTCAGAGGCCTCAGCAGGTAAAGGGCCCAAATCCAAACATTAAAAACTATTTTCTCCTGAGAAAGGTGCGGCCACATGGGAGTCCACAACCTGAAAACTCGCCTCCAGGCATTGCAGCCAAGGCTACCCAATTCTGGAGGAGGTAGATGGGGCAAGCAGGCTGCGTCTGGGGTCTGCGCCTAGCGATGGCTCACTTCCTGAGTCCTCACACGGAAGCCCTGATTCGGAGCCCACAGGGCAGGAGGCTGTGCGGATGTTCATTACAAAAGACACCTCCCAGCAGTGGGAAGATGCGCTCTGGGAGCGGCCCGCCCCGGCGGCCCCACAGTCTCCTCAACTGCAACCCAGGTCATGAGATCTGCTTCACAACGGAGAAACCATCTCCCAAGCTCCCAGCTCCTCGTATCAATGCCGTGACCTTCGTGTAAGGCACTAGCAGGAAAGGGGGCAATAGGAACATGGGCTGACAGGGGGACCCCAGATGCCTGTGACTCCTCCTGCACGGGGCTCCCTCCTGCCCCAGGTAGACAGAAGTAGATGGCCCCTTTGCATGGGCTGGCACGTCGGC